CCCCTGTAATCCCAGCTACTTGGGGCTGAGGCAGCAGAATTGCTTGAACCCAAGAGGCAGAGGTTGCAGTGAGCCAAGATCATGCCATTGCACTCCAGCCTGGGTGACAGAAGGAGACTCCATCTCAAAAAAAAAAAAAGAAATAATAACTCCATTTTATTGATTGTTCTGACTCTATCTTCAAGTCCATGTTTTTTTAAAAAAAGAAGAAAAAAGAGACCGTTTCTCATACCCAAGATCTCGTTTATAGTCACTTAAGAGGAAAGGGAGCCATGTGGGAGCCTGATCCTCAGTGACAGAGGGTGCGTGTCTTGGCGCATGGCTGTGCTGCTCTCACAGGATTTTAGAGCTTCCTAGTCTGTACTCTGCTTGTAGGCAGGAGCCAGGCATCTTATTTATCTATGGATTTGCTAGAATATCCAAGCATGATTACACCCATTTGTAGATAATGAAACTGAGGCCCAGAGAAGTCAGTAAGTTGCAACAGCCCTTGTAGCTCTCTGGAGCCAGAGCAAGTCAGTATCTATAGAGTATAAACTAAGTTTTTGTGGCCCTACTTTTTGACCTAGAAATCGGGACACCTGGTTTCTCCTGACAAGTCTGTCTGGCACCTGAGTGCAAGCGATTGTCCAGCAGATGCTGACATAGTAGAGTATCCAGGGATGTTCTGGTGGTTGTTAGGGCACAATGTTTGGAAACAGGACAGTTGTGAAGAATCCTGGAGGAATGGCTGCCTCTTTGATTTGACAGGCGTTCAGGGCCTGGACTGTTCAAAGATGGAGCAGCCCAGATGGAGGCAAGCGGAACAGCAGCACCGGGGGAGAGCCTGAGAGGACAGTGCTGTTTATCATGTGCTCTGTGCTGTCAGTGAGCACTGACAGCATTGCAGGAGAAGCATCCTGGGATGAAGCAGGAGGCAGGAGGGGCAAATGGGGAGTCCCTGTGTGCACCTGCTCAGCATCCCCCCAGCTACACACAAATAACATTTTGTGACCTCCTCTTGGGAGGCTGCATGCTGGACTCTAGGGGCCAAGGGTCTGAGTTGGTAGTCCCTGGTGGGTTAGAGACTGATTTTGCTCAGAGGGATCCCAAGGCCAGCATCTGGAGAGAAAGGGGAGGAGAGAAGCCAGCCATCCACAGAGAGACCAGCTGAGAAGTATAATGCTGGCTGGAGTCCCAGCATTAGAACCACAGGCTGCAGGCCAGACATGATGGATGAGCTCCAGGCTCTGCAGAAATCACCCTGGAGAGTGGGAAAAGCAGGGCTGACCAAGCAGGGGAGAAAGATTAAACCTGGGCATCCTTCCCTGTCCAGTAAGATAGCCATTAGCTACCTGTGGCTATTTACATTTAAATTAATGAAAATTAGATAAAATAAAAATACAATTCCTCAGTCTCAGCCACATTTCAAGTGCTTGATAGCCATATATGGCTAGTGGCTGCCAGATTGGACAGTGCAGATATAAGATATTAATATTTCCATCATGCAGAAAGTTCTACTTGAATGTAAATTATTTCATTAATATATTTTGTATTGATTACATGTTGAAATAACATTCTGGACATATGGAGTTAAATAGGCTATAATATTAACTTCACCTGTTTCTTTTTACTTGTTTTACCGTGGGCAATAGAAGCTTGTCAATTACCGATGTACCGATTTCTATTGAACAGCGTGGTTGCAGGTGGATACAGGAACACGCCTCCATTTATTCATTGTTTTTAATACCATGTCCATCTGATGGTATTTGATTGGATAATGGCTGTAAAAATCCTTTCTCAACAGTAAAGGTCGCTGAGGCAGCCCAGGGTAATTGGGCAAATGTGACTTTGGAGACACAAAAATTCAGGTTCACATCTCATCTCCATCCCTCCTCTAGCTTTGAAGTCTTGGGCAAATTACATGCCTCAGTTTCTCATCTCAAAAATGTAATCAATGAATGATCCACTGCATATCATTTATTTGAAGGGTACAGAAGATAGTGAATAGTACACGTACGGGGCTAGCATGGGCTCCTAGTAAACCTCGGTAAAAAGTGGCATTGTTGTTATGATTAGCATTTTAAGTGTGAAAGTGTAGGGGTTATGGTCAGTTTTTCTGGCCTGAGAAAGACCAGAAAAACCCTACCCCCTGCCTTCAGCAGCCCCTCCCAGCCTTCTGCAAAGCCCTTGGCACAGCCTGGACACTTACCTGCTGGCAGCTGCTGGCCCAGGAGGCCCGAAGGGCACCCCAGTTTCCCGAGCGCGTGGCCTTGCTCTCCAGGTGCATCCGAAGTTGTGTTTCCAGTTCCTGACTGACTTGCTCAAGGGCATGCACTTTGGCCATATATTCCACCAGGCAGCCCCCTAGGTCCTCAACAGCACCATGGTCCCGCTCCAAACCTGGAGCCGGCATTGTGGCCAGGCCTGAGCTCCGCAGGCCCTGAAGGAAGACACTGCTGATGCCGAGGGCCCGGCGGGTCACACGGGCACCCAGGCCACCTATGCACCCACTGGGTGCTGTTCCTACATAGACCCCAGGTACTCGGATAAGGCCACTCATGGCATTGGTCCTGGAGGCTGGGGGGCTATCCAGGGAGGATGATGACCGCGGCCCCCTGAAGGATGCCCTGTGCCTCTGCAGGGGCATGCTGGAGCTGGCACTGGTGGGCAAGTCCACTACTACTTGCCTCTCACTCATCACCCCTTCTGCCTCTGTGGTGCCCAAGTGGGTTTACAGAGTCCAGTGGCTGTTGGTTTACAGCCCCAGCATCCCTGTGGCCTGGTCACGGGCCTCTCTGGAATCTCCCCTATCCCCGGGGCTGCTTTGTCTGCTGTCTTCCATGAGTTTCCATCATTCACTGAGCTGAAAGAGAAATGGGCACTGGCCAGGGCTGCGTGCAGAGAGGCACTCATGCATTCTTTGATGTAGGGTCATGTGCCCAACCTCCCAGATTTTTCTGCTGGTGGTGGGGGAGGCTGGATCAGTGCAGGCTGTGGGGATAGATCATCTGGGTTCGTGCACTTTATTACCTAAGAGTGGGCAAGGCAGGCATCAAGCAACCCCATTCTACAGACGAATAAACTGAGGCTCAATGACCTCAGATCACAAGTGATCACTTGTCCCAGAGCTCACATTACAAGCTAGGACTCAATCCAGCTATTTCAGGGCTAATTTCAGTGGTTTCTACATCCCTATGTGTGCTGGCACATGTGAATGTGAACACATGTCCACACAAGAAGTAGAGGACGAAAAACGGCAGGACGCAGCCCCAGGGACCCAAGAGAAAAGCCCCTGCTTGTGGTTTCCTTCCCCCTCTCTCAGTCCTGGCAGCAGCTTCAGGTCCTTCCCTTGCCTCTCTCCTTCCTTCGTCATCTCTGTCCTCAGATTCTCTGTTCATCAGCTGCTTGTTGTTGGCCAGGATACTTCCTCCCTCTGGACCTCACTTTCTGAACATCAGCCTGAGCCTCTAACTCTCTGATGTGCCAGATAAGGACCTTGGGCAAATTCAGGCCCCACACATTATGTTCTGGCCATTCTCTCCACCTCTGCTTCTCTATCTGTTGGAAAACTGATACATAAAAACGACAAAGAGAGCATTTTCTGGCAAGCTCTCCAAGGGTGCTTCAAGTTAGGTATGAGGACACCCCTGGGTTTTAACTTTTGATCTTGGCATCCACTAAGCCATCAAGGGTCACACCTCAATCAGTTCTCTAGGATCAGAAAGGTTCCTCAAGTTCCAGGATGACAACACGGGCCTAAAAATCTCTGTATTTAAGTTTTAGCCTGGAGAAATCAGGTCACCAAACCCCAGAGCTGGATATTTTTCGAGATGCTGTAATGTAGGAACGTACCTCAGGTGAGAGAAGGAGAAGGGAGCCAACCTCTAGTGAGTGCCAAATCCAGCCTGCTGTGTGCATGAATCCTGTAGTTTACTTCATGGAATTCTCAACCCAGCCTTAGAAGGAAGGAGGTCCAGGGTTGACAAGTGCTGCCTACGGGCTGTGCACCTCACAGCTCCAAAGTACCATATCACGTGTCCTACGGTTGGCCACTATTTTCTTACGTGAGGAGGACCCTGAGAGCTGCAATGACTGGTCCAAGGTCCCAGGTCCAGAAGGTAGAGCTGGGGGGAGACAGCCTCTTCCAACCTCTGGGCCAGTGACTTACTTAGGAGCCTCCATGGTGCCCACCACCCAGAGAGCACAAAGTCACACAGGTAAAGTTAAAAACCTGGTCTACTACTAGAAGATCTGTGTGTACTTGCTTCCTGCTGACCAGGATGCTCCAACCCTTCCTTTCTTTATTGTCTTTCACTTTGTCCATTTGACATGGCCTAGGCGGTATTTTATAAATATCGATGTTGGCTATTTGATGAACAGATGAAAGAACCAATTGGATTAAGTAAAAGCCAGTAGTGTCCTTGTTTATTCAGATATAGCATTAATGCTGTGAACACCAGCCCTGAGACACCCAGAAGGGGCATGAGAGGCTGTGTTAAAGTAACAGCCTCCTGTGCAGGTGACGCTGACTTGGTTCTGAGGATCTGCGTTATTGTGAATTCCAAGATGTATTGTCCAAGGCTGAATGAGAGGTTCAAGCTACTGATTTAAGTTATGCACAAATATGTCATGTTTAGGCATTGTTATTCTCCACAGAACGATAACACTCAATGGCCAGGTTAACTTCAGACATCTCTGGGCCAAAGATATTTACTATATAAATCCACTCAGCCCTGGAGATGGGGAGAATGGTGGGGGGATGTACTTTAATTGACACTGCTGTCTCCAAAGACCTGATGAAAGATGACTCTCGTTTGGAGAAATTGCAAACATGTTCAAAAAGATTTATTTTATCAAATGCTAAACTGCTAATCCTATTAGCTCATCATGTACATAAAACTCACCTGTTAAATCAGATTAAAAAATACGGATGGATGTAAAGTGGCATTGGTACTGCTTAAGGAAGACTTAGAAGTTATCTTAAAATGAAAAGAATGCAAAATGCATTAGCAACGGAATCCTCTGGCTAACAAAATAAGTTTATTTATATATACATGGTAGCTGAAATCTGTGGATAAGGAAAAATAAGTCATACATCCACATACGTATATATAACATATGTATCTTGGATTACATATGTTATATATAAATTTTACTTTACAGATTTTTCTCTATATATACTCACACACATTGGTATATTAAATGTAACAGTTAACAGAAATATGGTAAGGTTAAAAAGGTCAAATAACACGCTAGAAAATTAAACTTAGAGAAACATTTAACCTGCTTCTTTGTGGGTTGAAGAGTCTTTGAAGAGAGACAACAACTGAACTCATGTGAAGCAGGTTTATACAACACCGAGAACACACTTTTGAAGGCCATCTTTTTTTTTTTAAGGAGAACGCAAAAAGAAAAAAGTCATAAAAGACCACAGCAACAACACAAACATATGAATCGACATTCAAGTTCAATTCCCAATCCAACTATAAGAGCATCTATATTCAAAATATACTATCAAACTAGTTTTATTTTAGAGAAAGAAAGTGTCAAAGCAGTAATCATCTCTCTCAGCCACGATCAGGAAAAAATAGAGAAGCAGCCACCTCTGGAAGCCTCTTGGGCATCTCTGAGGGTCTGACCCTGTTGGCCGCACTGGACACAGCATGGTGAGGCAGCCAGCCAGTGGGGAACGAGGGGAGCAGTGGAAGCTGCGAGCTGCATGGCAAGTCCACTGGCTGGTGCTGCGAGCAGGTTTGCAGGGGCAAGTAGGAGTGTAATGATGTCTTCTCTGAAATGATTTGCTTGGCAATCTTTTTTTTTTTTTTAATGATTGCAGGAGGAAGGTTTCAAAATCATAGCTCTGCTACCTCAAAGCTTCTTAGATAAACATGTTCCTTAGGGGCACAATACCATGGCCTTTTGAGAATACAAAGCTAAACCCCAATAAACATTTGATCCTTGAAGAAGAGCAAGCATTTTAAAGCTCCAAGGCTGGGATCCGCATCTAAACCTTCTCCAAGAGAAAGGCTCGGGTGTTTAATGCAGATTGAGTGTTGGAGGGGATGCAGGGACGGGCATAAAGGGAGCATTTTCCCACCAGGGAAAGGCAGTCTTGTTGTTAGCAGTGGAGGCAATGTTAGGGGGACGTGGCCTTGGGATGTCTTGATGTCCTCCATGGATTCCCAAGGACTCCATGCTCCTGTCTGCTGTCTACAACTTGGATAGAATTAAACATGACATCCAATGGTGCTGTTGTGAGGCTCCAGGGCCCTCATCCTCCAGGGTGATGGGATGTTCCCTTTTCCTGCCCTGTGCACGAGTCTGCCATCTTCCCCCCAGGTGGCCCAGTTCCCTTTACAGGTGTGCATATGAGAGGGAGGAAATGGGCCATGCCAAATCAAGAGGAACCAGAGCTTTAAGAATCACTCAAAGAACCGTGCACTTGACCACTCTAACATTCAGCTTCTACAGGAGGTCATCTGACCAGGGTTCCTGGGATCCCCAGGTGCTCAAAAATAGGTGTTAAGAGAAGCAATCAATGCAACTGCTTTGCTTAGAAATACCTTTATTTTATAAAGCCACAGATCATTCTGTAAATTTTTTTTAAACCACACTTGTAAAAAAGATGTTGACAATTCATAGGAAAAGAAAGCTGAAAGTGTTTCTCATTAAGTCAGGGTTCACAAAGGTTATATTTATAATATATATATTTGTATATTTATAATTTAGAGACGAAAAATAGGGAATAGCAAAGCGAAGCCTGCTGCAGTTAGATCTCAGATACTTGATCATTTCCCACAAACAGTGTTTCTTGACAGAAGGGGTTAACAAGGACCATCCCAGTGTCTCTGTAGTCACCATTGGCTGGGGAACGGGGCTCTGAAAGCTGGTCCTGGGGAGAGAGAGGAAGGAGATGGAGTGAGCTGGAGAAGGCTTAGGGTGGCCGTTCTTAAAAGTACACATGGGAACATTTATTTCAGCATTGAGGACTTGGCACACATTTGCATCATCCCCACTGCTAATGCTGAGGCACAGAGCCCTCTTTGCTATTCTTTTAATTAGGGTGTGTGTGTGTGTGTGTGTGTGTGTGTGTGTGTGTGTGTGTATTTTAATTTTTATGCTGTTCTTTCAGATTTTTATAGCAGCTCCCAAAAAATGTTTCCTGCTTCTGGAATTACCCCAATCCCAGGTTGCCAGAGGTGGTACCACTTTCCTTGCCAAAGTCTGAGGGGGCTTGCCACGCATAACACACATACAGTGCATGGCTCACTGCACTAGTAGTGAAACTTGGTCCACATGGACCCCAGACTATACTTCCTGCCTCTTTCTCACTGACTTCTGGGAAACTCTGCTTTTCCTTCCTGAATATACGTAGACTTAATCACTTCTTTCCCTTCTGCTACCCACCTATCAGGAACTAACAGGCCTGTCAAGAGGCTTCAAGGGTCAATTCCTTCCCCATTCTGAGGCCTTCCAGACCCTGGTCAGAATCATTATAGCACTAGCAATGCTGAGCTGAATGGATCTGCATCTCTGTGTGACTGCACAATACATGATAAATGAAATTTTCAGTCTGTATGTTCAACTGCAGGAGCAGAAAAGCCTAGAAATAGGCAATTCACTGCCCAGAAGGTAATCTGTGTGGGTTTGGCAGGGTTTTGGTTTCAGCTACTAAGGACAGCAAACATTTATGGGTCACTAAATGGCTGTGCTTGGATTCGGGCCTGGTACTAATTTAGAGAAAGGAAAAAAGAAAGTCACAGCTTGTTCCAATTAAAGCTAACGACAGCTAACGACTCAGAACCTTCAAGCCATTTCAGGGCAAAGACTCAACTACAGGCCGACGTCTACTGGCTCATGCCAGAGTTGGTTAGAAATATCTTAAGTAGCCACAATTAATTCTCTTAAGTTTATTATTTTTTATTTTTTGCTTTTTGCTTTTTTTCCTCTTTTGTGATCATTTTGCAAAGCAATTAAGTTTATTCTTAAAACGTGTAATAGATACTTTCTGAGGAGTACTTACTGCTCTATGAATCCTAAGGGAAGAAATGGCATTGCTGATCAAATGTCTTTTCAAAAGACAAGAACTTCCTTCCGTGTCTGGAATTAGGTGAACACTTATCTAAGTGTGGACATGGGGCCAGCCATCTAAGAAAAATAGTGGAGCACCTCAAAGAGAGACAAAAATCCGTTTCCTGCACCATGCTTTTGGGTTCAACTGTGGAGGCTGGATTAGGCTTGTCATTTTATAGCTTTCACAAAGCAAGTATTCACCAAAGGCAAACCATGTGGGGATGCTTTGCTGCATAAAAAAGAGAGAGTTATTTAGGGAACAACCAAGGCAAAGGAGAAGGAAAAGCAGGAGATGGGGGGCGGGGGAGAAAAGGGGGTGGGAGATAAAGCAGGGAGGAGGAGGAGGACAGCAAGAGAAAAAAGAATGGAAGTTTCCAAGCACCTTTTGGGCATCACAGTTTTGCCTGTACAGCCCTAGACCTGTGTTTTGCTGCCTGCATCAGCACAGAAGGTGGAGCATGGCATCAGAGGAACTCTCAGGCAAAGCATTTGGCAGTCTCCAAAGTTAGCAGCTAAAGGGCAGGTAGTGAGTGCATGTACCAGGGACACGGAACATGGTGGAATATGAACTGGTACCTTACGATTGCTCTAGAGATGGTCGGCTGTGTGTGTGTGTGTGTGTGTGTGTGTATGTGTGTGTGCGCGCATGTGCGCGCGCGCGCACCCAGCTGGCTTCATCCTGGTGCCAGCCTGCCTTCATTTGCCCTCAAATAGTGTGAGCCCGGAGAGCTGGAACAAATTGTAATATTACTCTAAATAAAGCAGAATGAGAGGAACTGCTTCCTGGGAGGGAAACAGCAAAATCCAATCCACTCTGAAGCCAAACTGAGCTTTGTGCTTACAGGTCCTGGTCTGGAGATCATGACTGGTGGGGCAGCCCTTTCTACCAGAGCCTCTGGCTTGTGTTGGATGGTGGCCCTCGTGCTCTGTGCCAAATGACTAACTGGGATGTTCTAAAAGCAAGGGCATTTTCTAGAGTGTGTTCATGCGTATTGTCCTTTGGCTTTGGCTTTCATTTACCAATTTGCAAAGAGAATATGAGAAATTTAGGGTTCAGGGGTTCACAACCCATCCCTAAAGTAGGACCAGCCCTGTTGTCAAGTTACACATTTTTTCCCACTTCCTATAGCAGATCTCAGGAACACCTTTTCCATGCAAAATGTGCACAGGCCACACTAAAGGTCATTCCTGCAATGAAGCTGGCCCCTCGTTTGTCCTCTGGTGAAAAATTTTTCTTGGGTCTTTAGTGTGTTAGGCTCTGGCTGGGTGATGGGTAAATTGTGGTGAACAACATTTATAGTTCATTCGCTTGATAAACATTTACTAAGAACCTACCATGTGCCAGGCACTGCTCTAGGTGCTGGGAATAGAGCAGTGAGCACAACAGACATGCTTCTGCCTCAGGCAGCAGGAGGGGCAGACCACACGCCAGTCAACAGAGAGAGAAGGGTGCAATGTCAAGCAGTAAGTGCTCTGAAGACAAATACAGCAAGGAAGAGGAAACAGAATGAGGCTGGGGATCTAAATACAGAGTGGTGAGGGAGGGAGGGAGGGTCTCCCAGAGGAGGTGGCATTTGAACAGAGACCTGAAGGAAATGAGGGATCAATAAAATTTTCTGACAGACCGGAAGTAGGGTATACAGGAAGGAAGGGCAGCTGGCAGTACCCTCTATATAAAGAGAAGCCTCAGGAGGGGGAAATCAAGGGGTCAGTCTCGGGTTTAGCAATGTGGAAGCAACTGGTTACTCAGGTGGGGGAGAGAGGCACTAAACTAATATCAGACCAGTAGCCTGCATATCACAGCTCTAAAAAGCGTCACAATGAAAAAACATAGGGAGCTGAGACCACGTGACAGGAAAGCTGAACCCAGCCTGGCAGGTTAAGGAAGGCCTCGCTGAGGAATTGACATTTAGACTGGGCCCTGAAGGATGAGTTGGAGTCACTAAGGTGAGCAAGAGAAGGGGTTCTGGGGAGACTGCAGGCAGTGCAGGAGAGGTGTCAGCTCATGCACACACCTGGAGTGGGTGTGATGTAACTTGGTGCTGGGAAGGAACAAAATGAATTCCAGTGTGGCTGGAGCTTAGCAGAAGAGAGGGAGAGGGGTGTGATGTGAGTCTGGAAAGCTGATCTGGGTTAGGTCTATCTTGTAGGTGCTATACGAGACTCTGAACTTTAACTTGAGAGAAATGGGAAAGTTTTAAGCATGGGAGCAATGTGACCACAATTATGTTTACAAAAGCTCACCCTGGGGAATAGACCTACGTGGGAAGGTGGGGGCTGTACCTCTGCAAGAACTCTTCTCAGCTCGCACTGCCTCACTCAGATGTCTGTTATCTTTTTCCCGGGCCATCTCAATCACATCCTAGTTGAGCTACCTATTTTTAGTCTGTTTTTCCGTGTCATTCTATCCATTTACTCGTCCATCAAGCCATTCTTATTTTTTTTCTTTTTTCTTTTCCTTATCCATTCACTGATCATATATAGGGTGTTTTCACCAGGCCATTGGCATAACCCTTCTAAAACTAGGTCACCCAAAGATCAAAACTTTCAGTGATTCTCTGCTGCCCCAAACTAGAGTCCCAATGCTGTAATACCCGATTCAAGGCTGTGTCTAATCTGGCCTTTATCCTTCTTTCCTATTCCATGGTGGCCTCTACTCCACCCTCTGTGTGAGAATGGAAAGAGCATGGATTCTGTGGTTAGAGTCCTGGGTTCAAACCTTGGCTTTCTCACTGACCAGCCAGGTGTCTTGGGAAAACACCCCCTGACGGTATATTCTCTCCTTTCAGATCCAGCACGTGTCCCCACCTTTCCCCAGGCTACTTGCTTTGCTGGAATGCCTGTTGAAATCCACTGATCCTTCCTAGAATCTCCACTGGGAAGGCTTTCCTCCCTGGGTTTCCATAGCTCCTTTTCCATAACTCATCTTGTGCTTCCCCTAATTGGCTTTGCTTTTGGGTGACACTGGTGTTTGTCCCCCAGCCTCATCTCAGAACCTCAGCCCCTTGGAACCAAGCTCTCATCTTCATAGTCCCCTGGGAGTGCTTGGCATGAAACAAGTTCTCATGGAGTATCTGTTCACTTGTTCCTAGAAACCAAAAGTCCCAGGAACAGTGCTTCCAAAATTTAATGTGCAGAAAGCACCTGGTGATTCTTGCTAAAACACAGATCCTGGTTCAGGAGGGACGGGGCAGAGCCCACAACCTCTTGGGTGTTACTGATGCTGCTGGTCCACAGCCTTAAGAAGCAAGGCACTCAGAAAGGAGCAGATGCCTCACTGCTGTCTTTGGGCCTGGTTTCCCTGCAGTGGGGCTGGTACTTCCAAGCTCATTACCTCAGAGGTTTCCAGGGACTGGATCTCCCTGGGCAGCTCCACAGCGTGCCTGTTGAAGTAGTCCATGGTGATGGCGTTGTTCCAGTAGCTCAGGTTGTTCTCCGGGTTGGCAGTCTTCTTCTTCCTCTTCATGCAGCACACCGTCAGCAGGACAGCTGTGGAGAGAGTGCAAGTCAGAGAGGAGAGGGAGGCTGCAAGGATGGTGCCTGAGTTGCACCACTGGACTGGTGAGGAGAGGTCCCAGCGGGAGCTGGGAACCAGATGATGGAGTCTCACTCCATCACCCAGGCTGGAGTGCAGTGGTGCGATCTCGGTTCACTGCAACCTCCGCCTCCTGGGTTCAAGTGATTCTCCTGCCTCAGCCTCCTGAGTAGTAGCTGGGATTACAGGTACCCACCACCACTTTTGGCTATTTTTGTATTTTTAGTAGAGATGGATGGAGTTTCACCAAGTTGGTCAGGCTGATCTCGAACTCCTGACCTTACATGATCCACCAGCCTCTGCCTCCCAAAGTGCTGGGATTACAGGTGTGAGCCACCGTGCCCAGTCAGGCTATGCTCTTAACCAGCTGATTCCCGCCTTGGGCTCCACACAGCTTGACTGAGCGCAGTGTGACATGTGACCCTGTCTGTTCATCCCTGAGACTTGCAGGGCCCAGGAGGAAGAATTATGTCTGGATTTGGCTGATTAACCAGGTGTGAACTGAGTGGCTTGTGAACAGGGAAGGCTTCTGAGGTCAGAGAGGTGGGGAGGCCTGTTTAGATTCACACAGCAGAAGGGTAACACAAGGACAAGGGTGACAGAGGCCCTCTTGGGGAGAAGCCATGAAGTGAGGCCTGAGTGTATCTTGCCCCGGGTTCATCATCACCAGAGCCTCTGGGGATGAGGGGAGCTGAAACCAAGGGCCACAGCCAACATCCTGGTGGTGCCAATCATGTGCAGGGGAGTCAGGGGCCCAGGCTGAGCTGTCTAGAGAGGCTGGCACCAGGGGGTGGCAGAAGGCCAGCTCTATCCACAGCATCCTGGGGGTCTGGCCAATGTCAGGGGTGGGTTTGTGCCAGGGTGTGGGGCAGCTCCAAAAGCTGGCACGTGTATAGGGTAAGAACCTCTGAGCCCAGGGCCCTGTGGGCTGCCTGGGGAATTCTGTAGCTTCCTTTCCAGCTGCCAGCCTCGCTGGCCTCTCAACCTCTAAAAAGCCCTCTGTAGAAGGTTAGGAGATAGGGTAAGTTTCTGCTTTATCTGATCTGCTTTGATCAAAAAGACTTCTAATTTGCTTTTCATTCTTCCAGATCCTTTACAAAAAAACCTTTAAAACACAGAGATTTCTGAATGTTGTATTTTAGAGATTAGCTGGTACAGAATTTTTCAAATGTTGTGAGTCTCTTTTCTTTTTCCCTCCCTTCCTTCCAAAGAAACTTTTCTTCAGATGGTTGAAGAGGAAAGGGGCAAGGAGGGGGTGGTGGTGCTCAGCTTGAAACTTCCTAATTTAGGCCACCTCCTTATTCTACAGAGGAGCAGCTGTGGCCTAAAGTGCTGGCCAACTTGCCACAAGTCACAGGTATGTGAGTGGCAGAGCTGGGACAAGACCCCAGATCTCCTCTTTCCCTTCTCTGGTGTCTCTGTTCTTCATTGTCACTATCTTTAACTCTGCTCCTGCAGCTGGAATGGTGAAATACCTGAGGGAATTCTAGCTGGTGCGACAGAAGCCATAAGGAGGGAACCATCTGGGAAGTGGGAAAAGTGCTGTTTCCTCAGCTCCAGCTCAGTTCTGGTAGAGTTAGAGCTGGAAGGAGGGGAGCAATTGACAGGGACATTTCCTATGGTGAGACAAACAGAACTGCTCTTCAATTATCGGCCTGTTGGGGAACATCCCATCATGCCCCACAAAACATTGCCATAGACACAAAACAGGCTGTGTGTCTGTGAGTCAGATTTGTATAGTTTGCAGACTTCTGTAAGGTAAAATGATATTTGTGCCTCTGAACTATTGAGTAGTTACAAGCAAACAGAATCAAAGTGACAGATGCCATCTTAGGCCTAGTCAATATGGCAAGAGGGAGGGACACAGAATTTAGAATTAGAATTTAGGTGATAATCTATTACTTGCATGACTTAAGTTACTTAACCTCTCCCAGCCTCAGCTTCCTTGGGAAGATTAAATGTAGTCATACATCTGCCAGCACTTCAAATCGTCCCTGGTACACAGTAGATGCTGAACCGAGTCAGCCCTTTCCCCCAGCCTACGTTCTTATTCTACAAGGCGGGGCATGGAAACCTAGAGAGGTGAACATGCTGCTAACCTGGGCTGGTAGAGGTTGCAGAGTCCATTTTCTCCAATGCCCAGTCCAGTGCTCTAACAGCCCATGTTTTTAAAATGCCAGATGCAGAGATCCTGCACTGCGGGAAAGCCTGGGAGTCAGAACAGAAAGTTCTGCTACACACTTTCTTCACCTTGCATGTTTGTGCTCCTAGCCTGATTGTATTTCTCTCTCAGAGTTTTCAGTGCTTCTCAAACACCATTTCATTCACTTACTGGGAGCCAGCCTGGCTACAGAAAGACCTAGGTTCAAGTTGTGACTCTGCCATGTATTCCATCTGGAAAGTCACTTCATCTCTCTGATTAAGATGGACTTCATAGGCTTGTAATGAGAATTAAAGAGACCATGATGCAAAATGCCAAATACAATGTCTGACATGCAGTGGATGCTTAACTAATGAGAGTTATCTTCTTGTTCTCCCAACATCCTCTACAAGAGAGACCTAGAAAGAAAAACTGTGTTACATGACTTGTGGGTGATTCAGGCCAAAGCTCCACCTAGGGGTTGGAATACTCATTATTTCCGTGGTCTTGCCTTTCATCCAAGAACAAAAAGTACAAGTCAGACTTACAGGGTTTCTACTATATTCCCAGCATTGATCCAGGCACTTCCAAGCTTATTTAGACCACATGATAACTGCCTAAGGAAGGCACTGTTACTCTTCCCATTTTCAGAACAGGTAACCGAAGGTCATAGAAGCTACTAGCATTGATCTTGATCACCCAACCTGCAATGTGAAGCCAGGTCTTGATGTTCAAGTTGATATCCACTGTCCTATGTTGTCCTGAACACTGGACATATGTAAAAGTGTTTTGTGAACTATGCAGCTTTCTGCAAACAGAAGGTATTAGCTGTTCCCTTTCTCATTTAGTTGAAAAGCTTCAACTGCTCTGTTTCTCCTGAGACAGTAGCCACCAAGACTCTGGAGGAGGTTTTGGAGTCCCAGTTTCCTTGAGTTTTGAAACAGAGCTCAGAATTAAGCTCTCTTAGCTTCCCAGAAATGTCACTGGGGAGTCATCCATGGCTTGTCAGATGTGTGACAGGAAGAAGAGGGGTCATTGATTTTAAGATGGAGCCCTGAGTACTGTGTTCACATTTGTGGAAGGGGCATGCATTCAGGTGATAGGACCTGCTGTGTGATAAGAAATGGAAATGAAACCCTGCAGGTCCCCTGAGGATTCAACCTTTTCAAACACCTATTGAATTGCTCTTTCCCTGGCCTGTTTGAGCAGGCAGTGCAAATCCTATCAACAGTAAGATGAATAATCATCATTGTTTGATCACTGCCATTTACTGAGTACCTTCTCCATGGCAGACATTAAGATAAGACCTAACATGCATCATCTCTGATTTTACAAGTCTTTGAGGTGTCAGCCATAAAAATGTCCTGGTCGGCTATGATGGACCATGACAAGGGTACTAGTGCAGGCCTGTTCCTGCTGGACATGGAACCCCTCTAATGGCTCAAGGACTCCCAATGGCTGGCAGAAACTTTCTTAGAACAGTACTGCAATCTAAGCCTCTTCCTACTGAATCCTCTTTCCTTCTCCCTCTCCTTTCATGGGGGTCAGGCCTGCACTGAAGTCAGGCTCCTTCTGCCTACTTCGATTCCTTCCTGAACATTTTACAGGTGTTTCCCCCAATAATTCTCTTATATGCCTAATCCCATCTTGGTGCCTGCATGTCAAAGGAACTAATACAGTGGACAGGAGTCCCATTTTGTAGACAGGAAGACACTGGATAAATGGTTAAGTCACTTGTGTAAGTCCTACAAATGTCAGGAGCTGAGGTTTGTGCAGGTATGTTTGATTCCACAAGCCAAGTCTTACAAGCACACCAGGCTTCCTCTCTAGTGATCCATGCAGAGTTAACGATGAGGACAAGGGGTGATCACACATTTCAGTTTGGGCCCTTTGTTTTGTAGATGAGAAGCCTGAGACCAGGGAGGGAAAGGATTCACCCAGGGGTGCCAGTGTAAGGGGTGCACCTAGGCTGTGCACAGCCATTTCCCTCCTTTGGAGGCTGAGGGAGGAGGTTGCAGGGAAGCCTCAGGGTATGGAGGGAAGCCAGGCTTGGGGGCTTAGTTCCCACAGAGGTGCTGACTGGGATGCATAGGGAAGAGCTGTCAGAGTGTGGGTCTACCCTGGAACGGCCAGGAGACATCCCCTGGACACCCCTGCCTTGCCCTGAGATTCTCCCATCCCTGTTTGATCTGTACACTCCAAGGAGACACATTTCCCAGCCATAATGCCTTCTGGTCCCAATCTCTTCTGTTCTTTTCATTGGCAAGAGTCATTCTCACCTGGATTTTCTCTTCTTTTGGGGGTAGAGTCTTGCTGGAGTGCAAGGCTGGAGTGCAGTGGTGCGATCTTGGCTCATTGCAACCTCTGCCACCCAGGTTCAAGTGATTCTCCTGCCTCAACCTCCCGAGCAGCTGAGACTACAGGCACATGCCACCATGCCCAGCTAATTTTTGTATTTTTAGTAGAGATGGGGTTTCACCATATTGGCCAGGATGGTCTCCATCTGTTGACTTTGTGATCCACCTGCCTCAGCCTCCCAAAGTGCTAGGATTATAGGCGTGTGTCATCACGCCCGGCCTAGGTTTTCTTATATAATAATTATAAACTCATTCAGGGTCTGTGAGCGAAAAGACACATACCTACATTCAGGTCGTATTCACTGAACAACCACTGGGCACGATGATATGTGATCTCTTTGAATGACACACTAATGATCCAGTGTCTGGAAGGAGGCCAGATTGCTCTGGGGCCCAGGTGCAGAGGGTGCCTTCAAGTGTCTAACATCAGAGAGAGGGGCTACGCCACTTAGCCAGGCTGAACCTGAGTTGGTGATGACAAACATCTGCAGCTAGTCTTTTCTTCACCCTCCAAACAGTCCTATCTTCTTGCAGAGGGGATGGGTGAAGACAGTCTCAAAAACGGACATCACATGTGACAGATGGGCAAAGGAGCCTGCCGGAGCCACAAAAACTGACATGCTCATGAAAACCCAGAGCCTTGACAATGGTGAGCATGGACCAATTCAGTGCCAGGCCTGGAGGCTTCTAGCTAAGGCTTCTAGCTCTGTGCGTCCTGATGGTGGCAGCAGAGACCAGCTCAGGAGCCACCTGGCTCCTCTGCCCTAGCCCAATACAGCTGGGATCCAATCAACTTCAGTTCGCAGCACTTCTGAAAATGTGTGTGGCTGACAGCGTCTGGCAGGGCTCAGGAGAGGAAAAGCATTTCTCAGCCCCGGGACACATATATCCTTCCAGCCACTGGTTGCAGCTTATGATGTGGGAGGGCAGGTGAACTGACACCCTCCCTCTTTGGGCAGGCCTGGGATCTGCCTTGCTCATCCCCTACTTGCACTAGGAGCAGAGGGTCACCCCTGCCCAGCACCCATCTGAGCTCTGACTTTGGTGTGTTCAGAAAGAAGTAGGGCAGAGGCCAGTGCTGGTATGAAAAGCCAGATGAGAAGAAACTGATGCACGTACTTTGCTACTGACTCAGAGTGCCTGAAATATCTGTCAAACTGGCAAAAGATGAAACCCTTCTTTGAGGTCTGTAGAGTAACTTTAGGATAAATGAAGCCACTGAGAAGGTCCAAAACAAGTGGCCCTTAGACCTGGAAGAGGTCTGCTTTCCTGGTAAATAGATTGGTGCTGGGCTATGACAACAGCCCAAATAGAGGAGGATATTTCCTGAGAGCACAGGGTTCTGAAGCTGGACAAATATTATTCCACCATACTGTCCCTCTCATTGGAGCCTTCACAGGGTTAACGATGGTCCCATAGGAGCTGGGGCCATGACTGAGGACAGGGAGCTGAGGTGGAGGCAGTCAGGGCCAAGGCAAGCCTCCTGTGTATAGCGGAAATGCAAGACAGACATCATAGGAAGTGGGGTCTGAGGTTCCCAAGGGGCTACCAGAGCCACTTTTATTAAAAGTTTGTGTCTTTCTTTAGAAGGTATTATGTTCCATCTTCAGCACCCGAAGGCTCCTTTCAGGGTGCCAGAAGAATCCTCAATGGACAGTTCCAGTCTGTGTCCTTGCTTCTGTCTTGGCTGACATTTTCATGCATGGTTTAGGCAGCCCATGGGCTTTCCAGCTTTGCAGCAAGATCTGATGTGATTTCAACCTTATACATAGCAGGAGGGCTGGAGAAGTAGGAGTCCTTTTAGAATTGCAAAACCCAGGTGGGCGTAGCCTGTGGGGTGCAGGCTATCCAGCTCAGACAAAGAGGGAGGCCCACATCTCAGATTCCCTAATGCTTGGTGCGGTGTCTGGCACACAGTGGGCACACAGGAAATCCTGCACTGAACCAAACACATTTTGTACTCTTAGATCTAGGCTGACTCAGTGTGTGCTTGGGATCCCCCCCCCCCGCGGATCAATGACTTCACCTGGTGACTTCCTCCCCACCTGTGAGGAGCGGAGGATGGCTGGAGTCCTGAGGTGCCTGTGTGTTTGGCAGCATGTTTGCTTGTTTCTGCTTTTACTTCTCTGGCTGGTCTAAGAATGGAATGATAAATAAATAATGGAATGCACTTGAATAACGTAATGCACACAGGACATGTATCTAGAGAATCCTGGACACATGCCAAGATTGGAAAACTAGGAAGCTGTCTCTACCATACCTACTTCTCAGATATGACCGACTATTATTATGACTTTATTGGCTAATAGTGCTACATTTTTTCATGACCATTCTTCTGTTTTAGAAGTGGGCAACCACACTTTTAAGACTAAATGTGTGTTTCCATGAGATACCATAAAGCTGTTTTCATTAAGAATGAAACATGCAACTTGCAAACACTTGACTTTCTTGAATTGGGTCCTTCAGCAGAAGCAGGTCGCCCAGCCCTGACATGGAAATTTACTGTGCTTATCAACCTGAAGGAGACAGAAAGCTGGAAGAGGTGGCTCTGGAAAATAATCTAGACTCCAGATTTAAAAAGATCTTGCAACTCAAGGCCAAGTGGATATAATGGTTCACATTAAAGGCATAAACCTCCTGCACTAACCACCCAGAGTTGGGGAAAGCCTTCGGGGCTTTGTTCCTCTTGAGATCAGGGCAGGCCTAGGTATGATTTGAACCCAAGACAACTAGTAGAGCTGAGGCCAGTGCCGGCTGCCTGAGTGCTACTAAAGAAAGCCTAGCTCCCCAGAATCGGCTCCCTCTGCCATAGCCAGAAACAGGTGGAATGCTGTGCTTCCTTTTGGGAGACAAAGTAGAAGCCACCCAGAGGGGGCAGATGGGAGACAGGCCCAGGCAATGCAGCTCTACAAACAGGACTTGAAGGATGGGGATGAGTAGCTTGGATGAGAAGAAGGCTGCCTTTCAGAGCTATTTCAAATGTTTCAGGGATTGCTAGACAGACTAGAGTTGTATGGCTTCAGATGGCATGGCTTAGGACCACAGAGCAGGAATCACAAGCAGGCAAACTTCAGGCTCCCAGGAGAGCTGGGCAATATCCTGGAGGGGCTGAGGAGAATGGGCTGTCCAGGGAGCGGGGATACGAGGGTGGGATACATCATCCCTGGAAAGAGTCAGGAAGTGGCAGATGGTAACCATTTGCGTTGAGGTGTGGCTGAGGATTCCGGAAAGGCTGTCAGAGAAACTCTTAAGAATCAAAGCTCAAGTCCATGAGGGAAGACATCATGAAATCCCTAAAGTTCTGAGAGGCTGTATCAGAAGACAACAGAGAGAATGCCTTCTGAGAGGCTGTATGGAGACAACAGAGAGAATGCCTTCTGAGAGGCTGTATGGAGACAACAGAGAGAATGCCTTCTGAGAGGCTGTATGGAGACAACAGAGAGAATGCCTTCTGACTCTTGAGTCACAGAGTGTCAGGCAGCAGCAAGGAGGAGCTGGTGGCCTTGGGAGGGCAAAAAAAAAGGACAAGGTCCACACTGCATCCCGCTCACATCACCTATGAACGAATACGGTGGGGAGGGGGTGGAGAGTTGCTAGAATTTACGTAACTCTCAAGCCTTAATTTAGCTACAAGAACTAGGTTTTTGCTAAGGCTATAGAACTTCCCACCAGATGAAAGTTTTACCTCTTTTTCTTTCTTAGGAGAAGAGGGACAGAAGGAGAGAAGAGGAACGAGAGGAGAGAAAACACAAGAAAGAGGATGGAAGATAAAGGTGAGGGGTTTGCTAGCTGGAAGCTGTAAATTTTGAAGCATCAGCATTCATCTACGGTGTCTTGGTGCCAGGTCGCTAGAGGCATTGGCAGGCTACCTTGAGGCAGAGTGGTGTCATGACAAGGGCACTGGGCTGGAAGACAGCTGCTATAAGCTCTCAGCCCAGCCCTGCCTCTCACTAATTCTAGGATCCTGGGTGAGTCATGTCACTGCTAGCTTGGCGTTTTGTTTCTGCAAAATGCAGGGTTGGATCAGACTGCCTGTAAGGTCCTTCCCCAGCTCCTGAGAGCTGTGGCTTTATGATCAGTGGGCAGTCAAGCCATGTCCTGGCAGAGCTGAGGACTAGGGTCAGGGATAACCTATGATTCCTGTCCTGCTTCCTAGTTTCCCGAGTTTCTGGGGACTTTTGTAGCCCATTTGGCAGGGATGCCCAAATCAGGGACAAAGGAATGCTGGGGATGAGTCAGTGATGCGGTAGAGGGAGAGGCTGGGTAGGTGAGGGTGGCACTTACAGCAGGAGGAGATGGGCACGCTGATGGCCAGGATCACCCAGGCGATATCCATCTTGCTCAGGCAGATGGTGGCTCTGTGCTGGGGTTTGTCCCCTTCGGCCACGTGGGAGATGTTCCCTGCTGTCCCAGGCTTCCAGGTCCCGGCGGGAACCAGGCGGTTGAGGAAGTTGCCTGTGGCTGTGGATACCACGGTGGAGAGAGGACTGGGCACCCTGTCGGTCATGGTGTAGGTGGCTGCAGTCTCCTCCTTGGCTCCAGAAATAGTGCTTTCTGAGACCCTGGGGGGATGGGTTGGAGCCTGTGTGGTTGTGGATGCTCCCTGAGGAATCCCCTGGGAAGGGGCTGAGACACTGGCATCGAAGGCAGTTGGGGTGGGCCCCGTGGCGGCCGTGAAGACCCCAGAGCTGGCAGATGGAGGTCTGTTGGTGCCAGGGGTGACAGTAAGCCAAGAGTCACTATGGCTGGGGCCGTCCTGTGGGTCACCATGGTAGGGGCGCTGAGAAGGCACTGGGGCAGGTTGTAGACTGGCAGGGGCACCTGAGGCTGCTGTGGCATCTGGCGTCCCTCCTTGGCTGGTGAAGGTAGAACTACCTCCCTGGGCTGCTCTGCGAAGGCCTGGCTTGTCCTCTGTAGGCCCCAGGGAGGTGGTGGGAGGTGCCCACAGGGTATTGCTGGGTGCTGTGGTGACAGCCACTGTCTGGGGCTGTGGCGAAGAGGAGTAGCCCCAGAGCGGGGTCCTGGGGGTGAGGGCAGAGGGGTCCAGCTCCACAGACCCAGTGAAGTTGCCTTTGTAGATCTGGAAGATTTTCCCCAGGGGCTGCTTCTGCCCTAGAGGTGTGGAACTTGGGTTTCGTCCCCGCTGTCCTTCCTTACTCCTGGAGTGGCCACCAGGTGCATGTGGGACAGGGCGTGATGAATTACCAGCCCCTTTTCGGGAGGAGCCTGGGGGCCTGGGGGGCCTGCGTGTGGTAGCGCGGGGGGGCGCTGTGGTGGGGCGGCTGGTGGCCCCCGGTGGCTTTGTCAGCAGGATGGTGGGAGCAGCCCGACCTGGGGGGCGGCCCTCTGGGTGGGAGGATGTGGTTGCCATGGCCACTGGAGTGGGCTCTGTGGGTAGGGAGCTTTTAGAATGGGGGGTGGTTACTGTCGCAGCGATGGTAGAGATGGTGTGCGTAGGAGGGTGCCCCTCCGCATGGGGTGTCGGTGTTGCCGTGGAAGCTGAAGCCTGTGAGGGGGGTCCATTGGGATTGGGGGTCACTGTCACCACAGAAGTGTGTCTGGTAGAGCTGTGGGGTGCTGTCTCCATGGTTCCTGGGGGACTGCCTGAAGGGAGGACCTGAAGAGATTCCCTGGGAGATGGTTCCTGGATGGCAAATGCCAGCGCTTCGGTCAGTGCCAAGATCAGCAGGAAACCTTGAGAGGAAGACAGAGAGAAGGGGTGAAATACTTGGGGAACAGCATACAGCCTGGGCCTTTCTTACCTGTGGCCAGGGACAGTGCTTGGAACTCAGGAAATGTCAGGAGCATTCCTGAGGCCCACTCTAGCGTCCCCACACTGCCTCAGAAATGTCTGTGGTGCTGGGGCAGGTATGTTAGGTAGGTGCTGCCTGGCACCTCCTGGAAAGAGACACCAGCACCAGGGGAACCAGAGCAGCCACCCTGCCAGGCCTGTCCTTTCCCACATGCCTCTCAAACACCATCAGCCCTCCCCACAAGGGCAACTTCTCAGAACAGGCTGGGGGTGCAGAAGGTTTGTGGCCTCTATGTCTGCCTCTTCCTCTGCAGCCAGGAGAGGTCAAGGCCAGCTTGCCTGTGGGGAAGCCTGCAACTCTGTGGGAGCCACTGCAAGCCAAATAAGGAAGGCCTGGGAGGCAGTGTGGACCAACTCCGATGCCCTTTTTGGAATCTTCCATTTATAATACACAAAGGTAAAAACGAACAGACCTCTGTCCCTTCACAACCATTTACCAAACAATTAAGGAGGCTCAACCCTCTCCCTGACCCTGGATAAGTTCGCACATATCCACAAACAATCCTAAAATAAGACAAAGATTTCTCAGTGCCATAGAAGAGTGACAGACATAAGAGGACCAGGGTCCAGAGAAAGGCAACCAGACCTGGAGCCCATAAAAGCACTTAGCACAGCCTGGAAAAGAAAGTGCCTTCTACAAATGCCAGCTGGTGTCATGGTTGTTATTAACTGCTTTTCCTGTGGCATTAATGTGGCTGAACTCTGGAAAATTGTCCTTGGTGATACCCAGCCTTTTTGTGTAGAAGGAGCCCTTTTGAAAAATTTTTAAAAAAAGGATTTTGTATGATAGTCAATGTGCATAGTTTCAGTTCATTGAGAAAATGCACAAGGACAAAAAACATTTCTAATTGTGTGTGAATTTTATTAATCACAGCAGCATATGCCTATATTTAAAAATGGTCCCTCATGCAAGCATGAGATGTAGGAGCCATTCCCTGACAACACATGGATTGGCAAGAGCCTGTCTGTACTGCTGAGGAGCGGCCAAGAGTCCTCTGAGGCCTGACTCTGACCTGTTAGCATCTCCTTGTCCTCTTAGCACCTCCTTGTTCATGAATCCCCTTCTTTGTCAGCCTCTGGCAGTTCCTTCAGCCTCTTCCGGGCCCCCCTTGACTATGGAGAGAGATCTCCGTGTCTGATTACTTTCTCCGAGCCTCTTTTCCCCATCAGATTCCAGCAGGACACATGGCCAAAAGAGGAGTCCAGCTGTGATTCTGATGGAGAAGGCAGGGCCCTGGAGAGATTCTAGGAAACAGAGACGGGGAGGAGATCTCCAGGCATGCCTTTGACACAAGGCCCAGGATCACCATTTGGTGTGTGGTGGAGCCTTGACATGGACCAGCGTCCTTCTCACCCTGCTCTTCTAAATTGGTGGGTTATGGGAGGCTGCGGGGACTTTAGATTACACTGAGGCTGTAGCACCCTCCAACTCTAGGACCAAAAATTTGCCCTAAACAATATTTTTTTCTAAACTTTCATTCATGATCTAGACTAGCGGTGCCCAACCTTTTTGGCATCAAGGACAAATTGTCTTCCACTTGGTTTTGTGGAAGACAGTTTTTCCATGGACTGGAGTTGGTGGTGGGGCATGGTTTTGGGATGAAACTCTTCCACCTCAGATGAGCAGGCATTAGATTCTCATAAGGAGCACACAACTTAGGTCCATCCCTTGCATGTGCAGTTCACAACAGAGTTTGTGCTCCTAGGAGAATCTAATGCTGCCGCTGATCTGACAGGAGGCAGAGCTCTGGTGGTAATGCTGTGGCGCTAACGCTGGCTTGTCGGCCTCTCGCCTCCTGATGTGCAGTCTGGTTCCTAACTGCTACTGGTCTGTGGCCCAGTGGTTGGGGACCCCTGATCTAGACCACGCACCAACAGTACATTCTGTGTGTTTGAGTCAATCCTAAAAGCTGTTTGCTGAGTACCTGCCCTGACCCAGGCTTTCATGCGTGCTTTAATCCACATGACCACTTGGTGGGACATGAAATTGAGGTTTGGGGAGAGTAGGCAACATGTGGAAAGTCACACAGTAGCAGAAGTATGTGAAACATGCTCATCCTGGTCAACCACCATCAGTGATGCATAAGGAGAAAGAGGACAGTGTGTTGTATCCCAGAAGAATTAATGTGCTGCCATGCTCTGACCTGTCCAGGGTTATCCTAGCACCCCTATCCTGCCCATGGCTTAACACCACAGAGATGAGTTATTCCTAGGGCTAGTGGGGTTGACCTCCATGTTTTGAGGGACATTCCCTTTCAAGCCTCTGTTGAGCTCACAAGTGTTAAGTGTTGTTAAAGACTGACTTGTGCACCCCCAAAATCCCTATTGAAAGGATTGAAGCCCTAACTCCCAGTACCTCAGAATGTGACTATATTTGGAGATAGGGCCTTTGAAGAGGTAATTAAGGTAGAATGAGGCCAATAGAGTGGGACCTAATTCAATCTGACTGGTGTCCTTCTAAGAAGAGGAGATTAGGACACACAGACATCCGGAGCATGTGTGCACAGAGGGATGGCCATGTGAGGACACAGCAGCTAGAGGGCGCCATCTCCAAGCCAAGGAAAGAGGCATCAGGACTCCAACCCTATGGGCACAGCTTGGACTTCCATCCTCCTCAACTGTGAGGTAATACGTTTCTGTTGTTAACCCACCCAGTCTGTGGTATTGTGTTATGGAAGCCCTAGAAAACTCATATACCTGCCCGATGTGGGAGATCCTCTGAAAAAGGAGAGACAGAGACAGGGCTTGTGTGCAGGAAGTTTATACTGGAAAGTGATCTGTGGGGTCAGCCATGGGGGTCTGAGACAAGTGAAACAGGGAAAACCAATCTGAGGGCAGGTAATGAGCTGATCCAGGTGGGCATCTCAGACTCACTGGGGACATCGGTGGAGCTGAGTAGGCTGCACCTCAAATTGCCTGAAAAGAACACTCACCCAGAGGCTCCCATATTCACTGGTCAAGGGCTGCTCCTGGGAAGCTCATCACTGCACTTCCTGACTGAGGCCAGGTTTCCATTGGCTGGCCCAGAGAAGCCTTGGGCCAAGGGGCTGCCAGGTTCTGCCTGCACCCAGCTGGTGTTTGCTGCAACAGCTGGACTTAAAATTAAGGGCCCGGGGAATCCCTGGGGCCAGGCACCAGATGTGTCAGACACAATCAAAGACCAGAGACTGAGGACATAGCAGTCTTTTGGCAGCAATGTCAAATGCAACACAAAGCTTTAGGAGAGACACTGGCTGACCCCAGGGACAGGCCCTCAGGTGTGAGAGGAGCCACCATGGCCTCTAGGAGAAATTTTACAGCACTCCAGAGGCAGAGAGACGGGTTAATACAGACTGGTCTTTAAAACACTCAGAGAAAAAAATTCCCCTGACTTTCCTGTCATTGGCACTCCAGGAACTAACATCCTCCTACCTGGGAAGGCTATGACTGGAGTCCTTGGTGCTGTAAGATACACAGCCTAAGTAAATATGTTTGCCCTTGTTGCTGCTGCCTATTTCCCCCACCCAGCTATCAGCGTCCCCTCAAGTTATTGTTTTCTCTAGAAGAACTGTAGAGTTACCTCTTAGCCCTTTCTTCTTTGGCACAATGAATGGATACTGCCACCCTGGGTGCCAAGGGCTTTTACCTGGAAGATGATGTTTAGATGTTACAGTGTGAGGGGATCTGGTATTTCACTGAATCCAGTCCCCTCATTTCACAGAGTGGGCAACAACAGGAGTGCAATATATAAATATATATTGCCCAGGCTGGAATGCAATGGCGCGATCTTAGCTCCCTGCAACCTTATACAAGAATGCATTACTGGTTGGGGACTCAGCCTGGACCACAGCCATTATTTTAAAGCAACTTTTCATTTGTATAATAATAATCCCTACAGTGTTGTACTGGCCAAACACCACCTCTAACCTCTACTGTCACCTTCAATATGGAAATCAGACTACAATTTACCTCTCTTCTTTGGCACAAGAGGTTAACAACTAAATGCTATGCACACTGTCACAATAAACAGCTAAGGCCTTCAACCAGGGGCTTCCCTAACACATGCAAATTTTCATTCAAGGCCCTCTGTGCTGGCCTACACACTCCCGCTCCCCACAATCTGGGGATACTGCCTCTTTGCATATTATTTGCATGGATTTGCATAATGGACTCTAGAGACTTTAATTCCAAATATGTAGGAGACACTAAAGCTAAAATCTAGCTTGACATGCTTGAAATGTGGAACTGATTTTTAAAACGTGTCCAAATATGGACAAGTGTTAGGGGGGTGGAGTCCACATATTGATGGGTGTCCAGACATCAGGAGAAGGTCTCCTTCTACTGAAAATTCCAATGCATACATGAGCTCAGGACCCAAGGGAAGGAAAGGCCCTCCTCCTCCTTCTATTTGGTTTGCTGCCTGCAGTCCATATTGGGCACAACATTTGCATCTGTCAAAGGCAACAAGGGAAGTGGTGAAAAGGGAAGTGGCTAATATGTGCTATACACTGCTCAAAGGGCTAAGCCTGCACTGACACATTTAATCCTCACAGCAATCTGATGAAGCACGTAGTATTATTAGCTCCCTGTTGCAATTGAGGAAAAGAAGCACAGAGAGGTACAGGAACTTGACCATGGTCACATAGCTGGGGAAGAGCAAGTTGCAATTTGTTCCTTGGCAGCTTGGCTGTAGAGTTTACACTCTCAACTACTTTCATGTATTGCTCTGCCCCATCCACCTCCCCAGGGTGCTCTGCCATTCAAAAGCAATGATTCACATCTTTGGAGAACTGATTTTCTATTGTTGGTCTCTTGACTTTTCTTCTGTCTTGTTTTTTCTCTCTCTCTATTCCAGGGCTCTGTGTGACACATTTGGTGTTCTTTTAAAACCCAGTTAATTAACTTCATTTTGCAAGTAACTAGGGGAGCTTGCAGTAGTACAATTATAGGACTGGAAGCCCCTGCTTTAAATTCTCTCCTCTTCACCAGTCCTAACATCTCATACATGCCATTGTTTGGTAGAATAAAAGTTAAATATAAAAACCCCACAAAATTATATATGTGTATATATTATAAAAAATTATATATACATGCATTTTCTCTTAAAATTGCCTATATTTATAACAAGGCATATTTGTTACACAGAAAATTCATAAAAATATAATTTTATCTTTCTTATCATTTAAAATTTTTCTTTTTGGAGACAGAGTTTTGCTCTTATTGCCCAGGCTGGAGTGTAATGGCGCGATCTCAGCTCACCGCAACCTCCACCTCCTGAGTTCAAGTGATTCTCCTGCCTCAGCCTCCTGAGTAGCTGGGATTACAAGCATACAACACCACGACTGTCTAATTTTGTATTTTTAGTAGACACAGGGTTTCTTCATGTTGGTTAGGCTGGTCTTGAACTACCAACTTCAGGTGATCCGACCACCTCAGCCTCCTAAAGTGCTGGGATCACAGGCGTGAGCCACCGCACCTGGCCAATTTTAAGTTTCTTCTAAGTAGATCTTCCTTCCCTATGAAAGTAGGTTTTCTACTGCAAGATACCCTTTTAACAGAGAATCACAGCAGTTTGAGTAGTTTTCTGAATGATCCTGGATACTTGGTACGATTTTAAATTGTGTCTACAAGTTCTCTGACACTCTCCCCACCAGAGGTAGAGTCTATTTTTTCTTCCCTTGAACTTAGGTAGGACTTTGTGACTGCCTTGATGAATACAATGAGGCAGAAGTGACACCCTACATCCCTTCTGAGGCCAGAGACAAAAAGCCCTTGCAGCTTTTGCAGGTTTCTCTTGGGGGCTTTGGCCCCCTGTAAGAAGTCCAGCTCCCTTGAGGTAGCCACATGGAGATACCTTGCAAAGAGTGACAGGAATGCCTGAGGAGACCCAGCCAGGCACTGGACATGAACGTGAAAAGCCTGCAAGATGACCCTGGCCATTGCTGGACTGCAGTCACCCAAGAGATCCCAAATGAGAGCTGCCTAGCCGAGCCCAGTCAACCCTAAGTAACTTGAACAAAATAAATGATTGTTACTGCTTTAAGACACTGTTTTTGTTTCTATTATCAATAGATAACTAGAACACTTGGGAATTTAGCTTCTGCAACTGATGTTTCAACAACAAAAGAAAAGAGCATCTAAGCACACCAAGTCTATCAGAGAGTTTGTTTTCTACATGAGCAATAACGTGCAACCTTGCCAGGAAATGGGCTTTTCTAATTTCAAGATTATTGTTCTTTAATCGGAAGGGATGTTGAGACTCTGGTATCAGCTCCTCCACTTTACAGATGAGAAAGCTGAGGCCCAACAAAGTGAAATGATTTACCCTGGCCACATAGCTACACACAGGGTTAGGGATACAGAGGGACTCAAGCCAACTCATTGTCTGCCATTCCCATTAAGGCTCCAAATTCACACTGTTCTTTTTATTTATTAAAATTTCTTTTCCTTTTTTTTTTGAGACAAGGTCTCACTCTGTCACCCAAGCTGAAGTGCAGTTGAGTGATCACAGCTCACTGCAGCCTTGACTTCCTGGGTTCAAGTGATCCTCCCACCTCAGCCTCCAAAGTGCTGGGACTACAGGCACATGCCACTATGCCCAGCTAATTTTTGAAATAGGGTCTTTTCATGTTGCTGGTCTCTAACTCCTGGGCTCAAGCAGTCTGCCTGTCTTGGCTTCTCAAAGTTTTAGGATTACAGGCATGAGCCACTGTACCTGGCCAGTGTTCTTCTTATACTCACTGTGGTTCCAGTGTTCTAGCATGGTCCATCTCTGAACTTCAATGATTCCTTTTATCAAAGATCAAATATAAACTTCTAATTCCTTGGAGCACAGTTTCCCTTAACCAAAAATAAATATGTATCATTGACTTCAGGGTGAGCTGGATGACTGATCTTAAGAGGCATTCCATGCCTGTGACCTCACTTCTTGATGAAACCAAGGAGTTTTAGGTGGAAGTCTTTTCTGCTTCCTTCACTACAGGTTGCTACATTTCAAATGTTCCCTCCCATAAAATCTTGCTGGGTACATGCCTCAGATAACAAGGTTGAGGGACAGAAAGTTCTTCTCAGAGGTAACTGGGACCGTTGCCTGGCAGATTTTAGACATCTCTGAGATTACTGATTCAACAGCTATGTTGATGAGGTCCATGACTTGTACTTTGGGAAACTGCTTCCCAGAGTACAATCTCTTGAATACATTCCAGCAAGAAAGCCATGTGAGACAGGGCCTGTGTGCCCCAGACACCCCTATGGCCTCCAGCCAACATGAATTCACCTTGTGCTGAAGCTCTGAGAGGCTGACAGATTATGGCCTACTAAAAAATATATGAACAAACACGCATGAACACAAACCCACACAGAGTAAGCATAGGCCCTTTCCCGGGGACAAGAAACAGGGAAGAATCACACATTTTCAGCTCAAGTCCCCATCATCTCCATGCTCACATATGGTTAAGTCATATGTCTGAGGTCAAAACGATCACCATGTAGCAGTACCAGGATTTAAACCCAGGTTTCTCGGATCCTGACTGGCCAAGAAATCCTGGAAACTGAGAAATTTTTGATCCAGGAAAATGTCTACATGAATAGAGGAAAGCTTGATGAAGATAATAGTAACAACTGTGATGACCACGACTAAAAACAAATCTTTCCCCAAATGCAGCAACACTTGGGAGCAACTATGCTAACTATGCTACCTTTGTTTAATCTTCAGCTTTAGCTTTTTTTGCCTTAATCATTTGATTCAACTTGGTACAAACATTTTTCACCTAGAACTCCTCTGAGAATTCTTCCTGGGCCTTGAAACTGTTGTTAGGAATCCCTCCTTGTGTGCCTGTAACCTATAAGCTCTATTCCAGCTCTCACCTCTCTGAATGGAAATGGACAATGTCTTGTCTGTTTCTCTGTCAGAAGTGGATGCTGCCAGGGCTGGGACCATGTTTGATTCAATATTAAATGCCCATATCTAGTCCAGCACCTAGGCTACAACACATATTTGCTGAAGAATAAGAAACTTTCCTAAATCACTTACTAGCCATCTGTGGCAGCTGGTGTTTTCTGGAAATGACCACCACAGTCCATTCCAATCCACTTACCTTTTGTAAGTGTGACTTTGGCTCTCCTGTTGAGAGGTAAGGTCTACATTCCTTCCCTTACATCTGCGTGGGTTTGTGACTGTGGCTCGGTGATGCTACCTTACGTCTAAGGCCAGTAGCCATAAAAGGTGGTATGGCTACTTCTTGGTTTTCTGGTGGTGCTTACTCTTGGGAGCCAGCTGCCATGCTGCAAGGAAGCCTGAGTAGCCCAGAGAGGGGCCCATGTGGAAAGGAACTAAGCTTCATGGGCTTCAGCCTTAGCCTAACTTCTAGATGATAGCAGTACAATCCTGTTGGCCATGTGAATGAGCCATCTTGAAAGCAGATCTTTCAGCCCATGCAGCTGAGTCTGGGGAGAGCAGAGACAAGTGACTCCTCCCCAGCTACAGACATAAGAGCAAAATGAATGATTGTTATTGATCTAAGCCACTAAGTTTTGGGGTGGTTTGTTAGGTGGCAGCAGTAGCTGGAATACCAACCATGTAGAAGTGAAATCAAAGCTCTTTCAGTGACCATTCTGATTTAGATAAGAAGGGCTTTCAAGTGCTGGAGCTCAACAGGCTGATTTTGACTTGGATTTCCTTACTGTCCTCCTTTCTTGGCCAGACTGAGATAAAGGGAAACATCTCAATGCTGGGCTCTTTCTACAGCATCATGATTTCTCTGACAGCCACATCAGGCTCCCTCAGGGAAGTAAGGAACAAATGCATACTAGGAGGACGATGAAACTTCTGTGTGCGTGTGCGCACACACACACAGTGGGCTGGGGAAACAGGTGGAATAAAGCTGGGGGCTGTTATTTGCTGTCTGCATATCGAGGACATAGCCGTTTCCTTCAAGGAGCTAATAGTATAGAAGGAAATGAAATTTGTGGTGACAGGAGCATAAACTCACATACCAAAGGTGTTCTCTCAAAGACTTGCCTCAAATAAACAAAAATGAGAGTCAAATTAGATGGATGAAAAGGTCAACTCAGCCTCTAATAAGATAACAAGATCATTAATATTCATGGAACGTCTCTCTGACATCAGGGGAAAGAACACAAATGCATCAGTCCAGACTGCCTTGTACTCTCCCAATCTCAAAGGAAGAAGCTCATAAAAACTGCTCCCTGCTTTACAGTAGGGAACGAACCTGAGAAACACAACCTCAGCCAGGTGATCGAGGCCAACATTCACAGTTCTAATGTCACAATGACAATATGTACCCTTGATATGAAAAAGGTGCTTTATAGTTTTCCCCTCCCAAACCCATAAGCCCAGTATAGTCATAAGAAAAACATCAGACAAATCCCAATTGAGGGACAGTCTACCAAATAGGTGACCAGTACTCAAAACTGCCAAGGGCATCAGAAGCAAGGAAGGTCTGAGCAGATGTCATAGCCAAGGGGAGCCTAAGGGGACATGAAGACTAAATGTAATGTGGTATCCCAGATGACATCCTGGAAAAAAAAATGTTAGGCAAAAACAAAGGGAATTTGAACAAAGTGCTACTTCAGTTAATAAATGCACTACAGTAACGTAAGATGCTAATCACAGAGGAAAGTGGAAACAGGCGTCTAGGAACGCTGTACTACTGTTGCAACTTTTCTGTATGTTTAAAACTATTCTAAATTTAAAAATATATTTTAAAAATGGTGTATGGATGGCAGACAACAGGGACAGTGCAAGGCTTTGGGGCATGGATGGCAGAGAGCAGGGACAGTGAAGGCTACCCCATGGGGTGGGTTCTAAAAGGGGACATAACTGAAGGGAGGCTCATAGGCAACTTTCCCAGCACCCTAGCATGAGATCATGCACTCCCAGATCTGGGCATGCAGGTGGTGGAGTAGGGGTGGGTGCTGAGAATCTCCCTGCCTTAATGCCAACTTCTGGATCCTCAGATCTCTTTTAGCCTAGTTGACAGATTCTAATTGAATATATCCACTGATGTGCTTCGGAGCCCACTTAGAGAGAGGGGGGGAAATTCTAAGATTTTGCTGCATCTGTCTGTATTTCATGATTCTTAATTTTTAACCATTCTAATTCAAAGTATGGAGTTAGGTGAAATGGTCAGGGAGACAACAACCTGAACATACAGTTTTTAACCTGTTCAAATTCTAACTGCAGAATCAGGGTAAACGCCACCCATGCAACAGCCACTACTTTCTTGACCAAGCAGGCTGAATGAAAATCAAACCTTATTCATCAGTGCCATGGGGCTAGATTACCCTGTTGCTTAAATGTGGAAGTCACATAAGGTGCTGGACATGGATACATCCATTCTTGTTCAGAATTTCTGCCCATACTCCCTTCCTGCTAGGTGATGATGTATTCATTTCCAGAACCCAATTTGACTGTCACCTCATCTTGGCAAAGTCAAGGTCCCTCAGTTCCCCAGGTGGAAATGGTGGCTCCCTGCCCAGTGCTCCCAGACACTGTTTCTGTTCCTATTGTGACTCTTCTCTGCAAAGATACCTTCAGTAGAGGATGTAGTGGGAAGGCCATGGGCTTGGGGTCAGTGGGATTTGGGTTCAATCTTGGCTTTGTAACTTTCTAGTTATAGCCTTCAGGCAAATTAGTTAAGCTTTGTTTTTTCCTCAGCTGTATGATAAGGAAAATAATGCCTATCTGCAGGGTGCTTTTAGGGTGGGAATATGTCATTAAGATGGTCATCAGAGAGATGCAAATCAAAACCACATTGAGATACCATCTTACGCCAGTTAGAATGGCGATCATTAAAAAATCTGGGGACAACAGATGCTGGAGAGGATGTGGAGAAAAAGGAACACTTTTACACTGTTGGTGGGAGTGTAAATTAGTCCAACCATTGTGGAAGACAGTGTGGCGATTCCTCAAGGCCTTAGAAATAGAAATTCCATTTGACCCAGCAATCCCATTACTGGGTATATATCCAAAAGACTATAAATCGTTCTACTATAAGGACACATGTACACGAATGTTCATTGCAGCACTGTTTACAATAGCAAAGACCTGGAATCAACCCAAATGCCCATCGATAATAGACTGGATTGGAAAAATGTGGCACATATACACCATGGAATATTATGCAGCAATCAGAAATGATGAGTTCGTGTCGTTTGTAGGGACATGGATGAATCTGGAGAACATCATCCTCAGCAAACTGACACAAGAACAGAAAATGAAACACCGCATATTCTCACTCATAGGTGGGTGATGAAAAATGAGAACACATGGACACAGAAAGGGGAGTACTAAACACTGGGGTCTATTGGGGGGAAAAGGGGAGGGCCAGTGGGAGGGGGAGGTGGGGAGGGATAGCCTGGGGAGAAATGCCAAATGTGGGTGAAGGGGAGAAGCAAAGCAAAGCACACTGCCATGTGTGTACCTACGCAACTGTCTTGCATGCTCTGCTCATGTACCCCCAAACCTATAATCCAATAAAAATTAAAAAAAAAAAAAAAAGATGCTTAGAAGGTCCCACACAGTGCCTAACATTAAGTAAGTGGTAACTCTGGTTTTAGTTTCTAAACTAAACTTATACTCTCCCCTAGGGCTGTGAGTTCTTGAGCTATCGGAGCCCCAGAACTTAGTTCGCTATCTGTCTGACACATAATAAGAGCACAATAATGCTTTTGAAACCACATAGGAATGAAAGAATAATTCCACATATTTGAGTATTTGCAGCTGAATGCTTACCACAAAATTGTAGATGTTGATTTCTTTGAACACAATGTCAATGAAAGAAAGCAGTCAATAACATCAGTCCTGTGACATGCCAATTCAGGGTGTGTGTGTGTGTGTGTGTGTGTGTGTGTGTGAGTGTATGTATTTATCTTTTTACTTTGCTTGCTTCTATGATGAACATTAACTGCATCAAATGCACACACATCTCACAGGCCAGGGTGAGGCAGGAGAAGGATGAGCTGGAACCTAACTCCTGTTGATCTGTTGCAGAGACCCTCTCGCCCCATAGTTGCTCTCCGCATGGCGAGCTCCATTCCTAATTACCTAGGGAAACTGGCCTGTATTTCTCTCTGAAGTTCTAACGAATGGTATGAGTATTTGCCAAGATTTGGATTTTACAGAGACAAGTCCCTGCTTTTGCTTTTGGTTTAAGGCTTACGCCTTTAGAAGGCTGTAATGAGAGCAGCAGGAAATAGGACAAATAGGAGTTTTTGTTAGGGAGGCAGCTAATAGAACAGCCACACAAAGGGCCCATGAACTCCAGAGAGAAGCAAGGGACAGGCCTGCAATAGTGTCTCCAGAACACTTGGCTCCTATAAACCCAGTGCACTGAAATCCCCAGAGCCTGCAGCCCATGGCTTGGGGTCTGGTCCAGTGCACTCCTCAGAGAGGACCTTTGGGACTCCCAGGGAGCCTCTTGGAGAGTCCTGGGACCTGCCTAAAGTTTTTGACTTGAGCACACCAGCATCTGTGTACCCTAAGCTTCAAATTCTCCAAAGCCAGAGGAGGAAAAAGACACATTGTCCTGGCCTGATTATGCCTGAGAATCACTTACATAAAAAGAGCACTGGGGCTTTTGATCTGATATCCTTCCAGGTGTGCTGACATCTTTCAGCACTTCTTCTCCCCTCATAAAAGAGCTTGTTGAGGAGGAAGGAGAAGAGGCAGTGGCTAGTGGTTAGCAGAAACAGTGGCCAAATGTCCAGGAAGAGGAAAGGGCAGGCCCACCTGAGGAGGGGCTGATGTCTAAGAAGGGGGTCTACTCCCTCTGGCACACAGTTTGCCTGCTCCTGAGCCCCTGTGGCTTTCCCTGGCGCACCATGCAAGGCTGCTTGGTATTCTCACTTGGTTCTGTTGTATGGCTGCAAAGCTGTGTGGCTCTGCTCTCCTTAGTTGCCAAAGGTTTACTGCCTACTCCAGTTTGCCTGGAACAAAACAGCTCAGGCAACACAGCTGTGCTTCCTTGTGAGACTGCCTAATTTCCCATTTCAAGGCGGGATGCCATACCCCAAGGTGTAATTTAGGTTTTAAGTATATGCTGAATTTCACAATTAAATTCTGAAACTCAGCCTTCCAGGCTGTGCACACTTGGGAATTAAAGCTTTCTTTTACTCTTCCCTCCTCCACTATCTACCCCCTCCCCACTATCAATACTGATACCATCACTAATGCTAAATTTCCATTTATTGAGTATCTACTATCTGCTAGGCACTTTTAAGGCTGCACCTGACACCAATAGCTTACCTGAAGCTTACCCTGAATGACCCTATGGTCTAAGAAGAATGTGTTCTCAGAACTCCAAGCTAAGAAATCTGGGAGTGGCCGATCCGGAGATTTATTCCTTACTTATGAGAAACATCCGAACCTCTGACCCATTTCATGGAATGCAGGCTGTACCGGGGATTGAATCCCTTTGTTTTGGGTTAAATGAAAGTTGACAGGTGGAGGTTGTTGGGGGAGGGTGCTAAGTGACAATGCTGTATCAGCTGCATGCTCTTTACCAGCAAATGCAGTTCTATCCAACTCACCACCACTGGACTCCTCTGTATGTGAGTCCCCTCAATAAACCCGATGTCTCATTTCTAGCTTGAGGTCTCTTTTTCAGCCTCTTGAACATGGTACCATCACTACTGAAGTCAAGAGGGGTCCAGCATGACAGCACTGTACTAAGCAATTTCCATATATCATCTTAATCTTCACAAAACCCTATGAGGTAGAAAAGGACAAATCTTAACCCATGTCCTATGTGATTATAAGGGTACTGATCCTCCACCTTTTTGTTATTCTCTTTTGGGCTACAAATCTGTGGATTTGCATACCTGGAATGTTTCACTGTGGCTTTCTGGTAGAAAAACTAACAATACCATTTATCTATGTCAAGCCAAGGAGACACGATCAACATACAAAGAACAAGAAGAGAACAGAAGATGGTTTATAATTCAGAAGCACATTGGGTGGAACATATTTTATGTATAGAAGCTTGTCAGGGAACCCAAGAAAGCTGGAGGAACCTGGAAGGCTTCCTGGAAGAAGGGAAAGCTTACTTCTCTTATCACCACTCCACCATTTGTTCATTTCTTCATTCACATATTCAACGAATATTTATTGAGGGCTGCGTGTGGCTTTGTGTTTCCCGGATAAACTAGTATCCTGATCTTAGCCATGGATCTCAGCTGCTACTATCTCATTCCCCACCATGGGCAATAAGATGCATACTGGTAGGGAAAATTCTGGCAAATTTTGTAAATTTATCCATAGGCAGAAACACTTTATCACGTTTTATGTTCAGAAGAGGAACACACATTTATTAAGCACCTACCATATCTGCAAATAACTTTACTCCTGAAAACTGGTTTGATACTTAAGCAGCTTTTGTAAGGTGCATTTCATTCCTTAAAACTAAAGTTCAGAGAGGTTAAAAGATTTATCCAAGGCCACACATTCAAGGTGGAGCCATGACGCACAACTAAGTCTATTCCTGTTTTTTCACGCTTCCTGCTTCTGTGTCTCCATTTTCAGCTCTCGACACTGCCAGCTGCAAACTTCTTTAGTAGTTATTCCTGATTACTTCTGCTCCTGGTGAGCTCATAACCTGACTAAAGGGCTCTGAGCTTCAGCAGACCTTGAGGATGACAGGCAGATGACCCTGCAGAATCAGGGTCTCTGGGCTGTTCCATTTTGGTCTGTCCCCCATTTCAGTCAGGGGTACAGTTCAAACCCTGCTTCTGAGTTGAACCCAAGAAAATAAGACCAAGATGAAAGCTTAAGTGCATCCCCTGAAAGGCTCTCATCTCCAGTCTAAGCTTGGAAGTGAGGAGATGGACCACCACAACCCAACTTGGAGATGTTGTCTCTTGTGGAAACACCCTCCTCAGTAGCAGAAGGATACTATCCCTATATCCTAGGTTGGTGGGTGGGAGACAGTGGTTCCTTGCCTCTGATATTTGCTTAGCTGATCCTCCCTCACCACAACCACAGCTCCTAACAAATCCAGGTACCCAGACACATAAATACCACCCTATGTGTATTTCCTGTGTCCTCTCTTTTCTCCTTCCTGAGGAGGTATGGAGAGAAAATAAACACCAGAATCACACAAAGCTAGGTATGAACTACTCACTAGCTTTATGATCTTGCATCGACCTCCCAGATAAACTGGCAGGGTTGGGATTCTGTCTGGTCTTTCCATTTATCATGATGTCCTCTTTTTGGTTCTTTTAGATTTTGCATTGGGTTGATGTAGTGGATGCTGTAGTCCACTGCCCAGATTCCTCTCTCAACCCACAGCAATGAGGCTCTCATTCCAGAGCTACTAGAGGGGTGCCAGATGATGGCACACAGCTGAACTTCTCTTCAGCTATTGCCCTCGGATTAAGAGAGCTGCCTTGCTCAAGGTTACACCCCTTTCCTGGGAAACCAGTATCCAATGACTGGTTTCTGTAAAAGGACTGGAGCGGCCTTAAAAGAGCTGCCTTGCTTCCATTTGGGAAGACTATGAAGAACCATCCCAGCTCTTATGGTTGGCCAACGCCTTGGTGTGACTGTGTTGCAGCCCAACTTCTCCCCTTGCCTAATCCTGCTTTCCTGACTCTCCTGAAGGAAAGTAAGTGATTCTGGGAGTACTTCTGGAAAACCTCCTGCATGCAAATTTCCAGGTCCTAATCTGCTTCCTGGGAACTAGGTCTGCAACAGATGATATCCAATCAATGTTCATGATGAGGTAGACTATTCTTCCTTCTTGTCACTCCATTCCCATGTCTTTCTCCACCATATTACTTTCATCCCATTTACATCCCTTTAAGGTTTCACCCCTTCCAGGAAGGCGTCCTTCATGCACTCCTTCCAGGTTCTGGTCACTCTCATCATGACTGCCACTCTAATAGATGGCATTAAGACTTTTATTCTTATGAAAATCATTCTGTATTTTCTCACATCTTTCCATTATCCTGGAAGCTCATTATGACTAGGAGATTTCAAATTTAATTTTAAAATATTTTCTCTCACTCAGTCATATACAGTGATGGTTGGAGGCACTTAATCCTGTTGGCAGAACACATTTGACAAATTCCTTGTCAGTGCTTCACCTTCCTTTCATTTAATTCATTCAGCACACACTTACTGGCTGTCCGGTCTGAGCTAAGCATTACCTATGCTATGGGGACACACAAAGAAATGACGTTTCCTTCCTACTGTCCAGGGGGTTGTAGTTGAGCAGGAGAGGCTTGTGGTAAAGTGGCTGACCCCGAGGCCAGACTGCCTGGTTCCAACCTTTCTCTCCCAATTTCCAGCTCAGCGGC